GGCAATTGGCTTTTTCTTTTCATAAATATACTATGTCTGAATTTTCACATTTGTAAGAAAGAGTTACTAGACACTTATAGTTGTAAAAGTTGTGATGTTTTCCTTGACAAAACAGTTATGTATGTTATGTTTTGTGGGTTTATTTGGTTTTGATTCTTTTTATCAAGCATGTGAGCAAGTAAATCTTCTGAGTGAGAGGTTTATGTAGCAGCACCATCAATATGCCAAAAATTTTGCCTTGTACTGCATCTGTGTATATTAGATTATAATTTTAATTGACAATTTCAGTTGCACAGATGTCTTTAATTTGTTACCTTATGAAGTTTATTTTTACCATATGTAGTGAAAATGTACTATGCAGGAGACTTAGCAAGGGGCTTACATTTTATTTACTTCAGGAATTGATTATATTGGAGATAATAATTTAGTCACTACTCTTAAAATGCAATTTCTGTTTGTCTGTTACCCTCAGATATCTGTATCCTTCAACAAATGAGGTCTCTGTAGAATATCAGGGTATAGTTAGAAAATTGTCGAGCAGGCACTTTTCATAATCTGAGATGCAGTAATCACATGTATAAGGAAACAATTGCAGCATTCTAATTTAGTCTTAAGGATCTGGTTCCCAATGAGCAGCATGTTGGGGCAAATGCGTGGGCTGTTTGTAAATGCTGTATATGCTGTAATCAACATTGACTTCACCACTCAAACTTACTTCTGTGTATCAATTTTGGAAAAAAAACACCTGACAGTGGCTTAGAACATCTAACCTATGCCTGCAGTTCATAAGATGCAGTTTTTCTGGGATTTTTGGTTTGTTTCTTTTTCTTAATTCTCTTAAATCTGGCCATACCATGCAACTAGATTTAGCCTCAATCTGAGCTCTGATGTCTGAAATTAAGATGTCCCTAACTGTTAATCAATTCAAAATCTTGGCTTATGTAATTAGCTCATCAGACGTTTGTACAATATTGCAAAACCTAGGAAAACCTGGCAACTTCCAAGTAAATGGGCAAGGAGTTTTTGAGGCACACCAAATAAATGAGTAAGGAGTTTTTGGGACACATGAGGAAAGTAAAATAACTTTAAGTTCATCAACGGGGTCATAAAAATAAAGTAAATACTCAGATGACACATTTGTGTGAACGTGACCTTGGCTTTTGGATCAAATAGCAAATACATGTATGTCGTGTTTGTCTGAATGTGACCTCTCCTTGGTTCAAATATCAATCATAAATCAAACCCCAGCTTTTGATGTACATGCAGAGGGAGCAGCCTCTTAAATGATGCACCAGATCTCCATTTCTCAGCATGTGTGGTCTCCACATGTCAGTGTTCAGCACACACACCCAGCATGTGTGTCAGTGTGTTCTGTCAGCTTCATTGCCTGCCAGGTGTTGTCACAGAGGCTTTAGAATCTGTAGAACTTTGAAGCACAAACTGTTGTGATTAACACATGTAATATTTTGAATCCTCCTCAAGGATGGAATAATTTGACTGGAATATAGCAGTGACTTGAAGAGATACTGATATTGAAATGGATTGGATGAAGAGCAAAACCTGGGGATTCATTTGGGAGAGGAAAGGAAAAAGGGAGGAGTGTGTTGCAACTGCAGAGTTGTAAATGTCACAGTGGTGTGGGGTTTTCATTAGAAGCTGTGGTGAGCTATAAGCAGTGTTGGTGGAACTGAAGTGAACCTGAAAAGCAGCACATGGCAGAGAACACAGACTACTCTATAACATAGTGGTTACTAAGATGTTGCCATGGCTGAGTTTCTTGCAGAAAAGAAATTCTTATTGTCCTTTTGAATCTCGTGTTAATAAAATATATTTGCTTCAGTAGTTATGCCTCAAAAATATTGGATATTATGAACTCCAATATGAATATTTGCTTTAAGTGCCTTAACAACTAATGTAATAAATGGAATAATCTTCCCTCATACTGCTTTACAGGCTGATTTTTTAAAAGTCATGTGAACAGTAGTATCTTGATTCTATAGATTAGGCTGGTAGTCGGTTTGATTATAAAAATGGAAACAGACACCATTACAAACTGAGAGGTTTTTAGGCCTTCTATCTGGAGTATAAAAGTTGAAGCAAGACAAAAGGCATTTTTAACACAAAGTTTTTCACTTGAATCTTTGGCAGTACTTGCTTGGGTTTGGTACCGTCTAAATTTCAGACTGGATTATAATGTAGTTTAAAAAATACGAAAGCCTAGGAACTCAAAATATGCAAAGCAACCAACAAAAAAAAATCCCCCAAACCCCACAAACAAACAAAGACACCTTTAAAACTTCTTGAAGAAAATGGTGAATTGAAGGAAAGCATTATAGGTTTTTCAATAACCCTAAGTATAATATTATACAGTTTGTTAATTTATATTACACTTGTCTTTTACTGAAGTCCTGAGTAGATAGCTCCTTAAAGGATTCAGCAGACACAGATTTAAAGGAGATTTGAAAGTTTTACTTTGACATACAGCTATTTCTGACTTCAGTTACAGTTCGAGATTCACTAGACAGAAAAGTCAAGTATTCTCTTTTACAGAAACCTCTGAAGCATTTACTTTTTGGATATGAAAACTCACATTTAGAGGAGAAAAAAACAAGCCAAACAACCAAATCTCAGTTGTGTTGCAGACTTGAACCTATTTGAGCTTGACGGCAGTTCAAACAACACCTCTATCTCCACTCTTTACAATATGGGATTTTCCTTTTATCAGAAGGGCCTTGATGCAAATTTGAGTAATGCCATGTTTGATACATCCACTTATGTGGAAGAAAGCAAGCATGATTGCAGATAGGCGTAAACTTGAGGTGATAGACCTGTAAGTCTTGTCTTTGGAGCCTGGAGGCAAAGGTTGCAAAACCTTCCTGTCCCCTTGCTGATGAAACCAAATCTGGCTCCTGTTGTCAAAGGGATTGCAGGGGCTCCTTTAAACACAGGCTTCAGATCTTACTGCACCGATACCCGGGAGCTGTGGTCTTTTGTTATGTCTGCAGCTGAGCTGTCTGATACAGCGTGACTACTCTAATGGTGTGGATGAAATATGGTGAGATCTATTTTCTGGTCTAACACGAAGTCAGTGTAAATATAAATTGTTCTGAACAGTTCCTAGTTATCAGGATCTTGAGGGGCTTGTTGAATTCTAAATTCTCCATTAGAAACCCACTTGATGTTGTTTCATTCTTTACAAGCAGCTGAAGTCTTTCTTTGAGCTAGATTCTACTCTCAGCTTTAGTTTCCAGCAATGGAGCTTTAATTTCATTTTTGTTTTTTATTTATTGGAGCACGTTTTGTCAACTCAGAGCAAATGCCTGTGTCTTCCATTTAATGTATTTCAGTGGCAGTTTTACTGCTGGAAGGTATCAATGGGATGTGCACACAGCAGCCTGCATGACAGCTCCATGTCCCTGCCAAAAGATGGTAATACCCCTTAATCTAACGGAGGTGCTGTCTGATCTGTAAAGCAATTTTCACCTCTCACAGGAGACCAAAGAGGCATTGGCTTCTTCAGGCAGTGAATTGAAGTCTGGTTTGCAGACCCAGCCTGTCCACACAGTCACTGGATTCTGCAGAGGAGATTCAGGCTGCACATGCAGTTACATTTTGGCCATGCAGGACGTGTATCCCTCTTCCCAGCTGCTTATTTCTGCTCTCTCCATTGAGCCAGCACTAATATTTGTAAGGCTTTGCAGTGAACTGGATCAGGGAAGTGGCTGTATTGAAAAGTACCATGTTTTTAGTGTGTAATCATGGCCTTGAAGATCAGTCATGGCTCTGGAAATTCCATTGAGCTCCACTCAACCCAAACATGTTAAGTGAGCTGTTTGACATTAGGTGAGATTAATTACCTCTCTTATTTCTGTTTGCTGAAAATTAATTTCCTTTTTGTACTATTTTCTCCATTAGTAACTGCATCTGTTGTGTGAAAATGAGAGGGTATGATATTTGAAATAAATAGTTTCATTATCTCCTGAATAAAGTTTTGTTGCTGCCCTGTTATTAGTCACTTCTTAAACAGTAATCTTGGCATAACAAACAATTTTTAAAACTATTTAGTGTATAATAAACGTGTTACATGAGTGAAAGAAAGCATAGGAGGAAATTGTGGATATATGATCTTGAAGTTCTAGAAAGCAGTTGAATAGTATAAAGCAAGAGTCACATTTAAAAGGAGGGTTGAGTGGTCCTGTTCAGAGACACTGATCTGTAATGCACACTAGTCAATGTAATTTAGAATCCAGTGGGACAGAAAATCCTGGTTCCAAAGAAACACAGATTCCTAGCTCAGTAAGTTCTTGAGTTTAGCTGAGTAATATTTAAAAAAAGAATCTTATGTTGTTTTTATCATTTTGTCTGGGCTTAACCCCAGGAAGCAACCAAGCCCCACTTGCTCACTCCCCTGACATGGAGCTGGGGAGACAATTCAAATCAAGGTTGCATAGGGTTTTTCCTTACATGACTTTTAAGTTCCTGACTTTACAGCTTTGCTGTCAATTTTCAAAATTAGGGTATGTGAATTTTGATTTCTTTAAAGGCAAGGATACCTATAAGTTGCATATGGTGTTTTGGAGTACAGCTGAGTAAAGGGAAGAAATATGAAGATGTTCTGGGGTTTTTTGGAGAGAGAGAGAGAGTGCAACTGGCAGTCTTGATGAAGAGGTGGCTTATGAAAATGTGCTGATGTTATTAGTACTTTTTAAAATAAAAAATAGTACAAGGATGCAAGGTTACAAACAATGAAAACTGAATCAATTGTCACGTGATAGAGGAGAAAATATGCATCCTTTCCCAGGTGGAAGTCTGGGTGTCACACTTTAGGTGCCAAATCTTATTTTTTGTTCTTTTTTGTGTTTGAATCAGGATATTGGATATATTCTGCCACTTACATATTCAAGGCTCTTCCTATCCAGTAAAGTTTTCTAAAAATATCTATTGCAATCACGAGTTTTACATGTGCTGTTTTCAGCCCCAGCATTCTCAAAATGACCTAGAGGTAATGATTGTTTCAACTTTAACCCTGGTATTTGCAAGCAAGCCCTTTACACGATCAATTTGTTTATGCAGTAAGATCAGACTTTGTTACTGCTTCCCAGAGACCTTTGCGTCTCAGGGACCTCTTTCCTTACAGGGATTATCCTTCCTGTGGCAAGTATTAAATGTGGAAGGGCTGGAGGTTTAGTATCCCTCCATGCCTTTCCAAAAATGAAGCAAGCAACTGATAGCTGCATGTTGAGGTATTTTTCTTTAATAATCTGACTGATTTCTTTGGGAGCGATTTTAAGTTTACAGGTAAGTTACTCAGTGAGTATTCAAGTGAGGTGGTGGGAAAGGACTTCTTGTGAAAATAGACATATTTCAGAGATAATAGGATGTGAGAGAGTAAAACCTGTTTAACCTTAAAACCATAATTACATTAAATGGTGTCATTTTTCTATCTTCTATTCTCTTGTTTTCAGTTTGTGTGTGTTGGTACTTGGGGGTCGGAAAGGGGTTATGGAGACTAAAGTATTGTATGGGAAACTGAGAAAAGCCTCTGCAGATGTCTTTGTGGCACAGGATTTCTGTAAATACTTAGGAGACAGATGTTTGAGTGGAACCATCATGCTGCATCTACTACATCTACTGTTGTAACATGTACAGGGCTTTTTGTAAAGCAAAATTATCTCTGTAAATATTAAATGAACTTCATACTCATTACTCTTTTTATTTTAGAGGCTTTTTTTCATTCAAGCAAGGATCAATGCATATTATGTGAAACCTGCCAATGAAAGCATATGCATGTGTAAACATGCACAGAACACAGAGAAGCCAGAAGGCAGTTTACTGCATAAATACTAGACATATTACTTAAAGACTCTCTGTGCTTATTAAAAAAATTAATTGTCAGTATTGTGAATATTAGTATATTTTGACAGAAATTGTTATGTTGTTGCCATGCTTGCTTAAGTACCAGTTAATCATTGACAAGAGCTCTAATGATTAAGCAGCTGTAATTTACTTATAGTGTTTGAAAGTACAAAAGGGTATGTAATTTAATAGTTAAAACAAGAAGCACTCCATTTATGTTTCACTAGCTATTAGGTTGTTTTTACAGAAATTTCGCTAAAAAGGCTGCTGAATTTTACATATTGATTGTAAAAGTGGAAAAGTATGGTGTGGTTTGGGCAATACCAGGCAGCTGCTGCCACATTCAGAGGTTGGCTCTCAAGACTTTCCTTTGCTTTCCTGACAGATAATGCCTATTTTGGTTGAAGGTAGACTTCCGTGTTCACTTAATCTTTCAAAAATATGTGTGCTGGGTACTTGGAGAGATGTATGTGATTCAGCAGTGAGAACTGGGTACAAGAAGCCCAGTTCCTACTGGAACCTCCCTGGCTATCCTGGGGCAGAGGAATGTAATGTTTCTGTGCTGTGTACAAGTGGTTTAGCTCAGAACTTCATGGAGAGCACACTGAAGGAACAGTGCCAATCATATGCTCTGCCATTCCTCTCTTCTTTTTGCTGATGGCTCTTTAGGGAGACAAATTTGGTAGTCTCCTTTGGGTTGCTGGAGGTTTCTCTATATTTTTCCCCCATCACAAAATAGGTGCATCACACTGATAGGAAATTAACTTTATTTTCACAAATTCCATACAAGTGGTTTCTCATTTCTGAGTCTGAGTATGTTATGGTTATGTCAGGGATGTGTGTAGATGACTAGGAGCAAACAGTACAGTTAGTTCTAGGTGTTACTGGGCTTATCCATGCTGTGTGTCCAGCTCTCACCCACCAGCACAGCTGGTACAGTAACATCCCCGTTGTCTGTAACTGGTGTTGGAAATCATGGATACATTCACAGAGTCTCCTACATATTCCTGCTTGCTGCACTATGTGACTTAGAAATTATTTTCCTTTTTTTAGTTAAAACTATCCTGTTTCAAAGAAATTGGGCAAATAGACCTGTACTAACAGTCTTTGTAGAATGAGATGGCAAGTTAGTAATAGTGACAGCATCTCCTTTATTTTTCCTGCTCAAGAAGAGTGAGTAGAATATTGATGTTTGTTATAAGTTTTGGTGGGAAGTGCATAATGCCTTCTGTAGAAACACTTGTCTCAGCAATGGAGAGAAAATAACAATCTACAGATTGATCTTGTCATAACTCTCATTCATCTTGAAGTCTTTTGGGGAATTTTCCCCACCCTATGTTCTTGATGATTCATGTTGCATAAAACTTCCAGAGCAACAGAATGTTCTATAATATTTCACCTTTGGATTAGAAGTCCTGCATTCAGTGTGCTGCAACTGGTTCAAATATTTTTTTCGAATATCTGATTTTTTTTTTAATTATTCTTTCACCAGTAAAAAGAAGTTTAAGTGACTGCTCTACTTGATCAAAATGGTGGACACTGAAAACCAGCTCTATCCCCTTACTCCCTTGGAGGAGGAGGATATAGACAGCCCTTTATCTGGAGAGTTCCTACAAGATATGGAGAACATTCAAGACCTGTCCCAGTCTCTAGGTGATGATAGTTCTGGAGCTTTAAGTTTAACAGAATTCCAATCACTGGGAAATGGTCCAGGATCTGATGGATCAGTTATAACAGGTAAGAGAGTTTGGTTTAACATAAAATTCTTTTATAAATAGAATGGTAGAAATTAATAACTACTTTAATGCAATAATTATTGTTTATGGTGACGTGACGCCAGAAATATATAAGCTGATTATGGCATGGTCTTAAAATACTTAAGGCTAAAGTTAATATATTAGACAAATGTCACTGAAGAATGTCTGTAACATTAAGTTACATGGTCTTTGGTCAGAGGCTTTGTTTGGGAGATCAGAATGGAAATCACTGCAGAGGTGTGGGACACTGTGGAGATCTCAGTAAGGTTTCCCTGTTGAATCTGGGTGTTTGCAAGTCTTTTAGCAGGAGAGCCATTTGAAGTAGTTTACTATTAACCTTTTGACTGGTTTGCATTATGCTTTGTTTTGGGGGGTTCTTACTTTAGATCAATTCCCAGCCTGTGATTTCTGTTTCACCTTGGAATAATAGAACTGAGGCAGCTGAAATGAACAGTGTGGATTTGAAGGGAATGGGGAGAGCTGTCTCCTGGCACTGTCGACCAAAGGAGTGTTTCTAGAACTATGACTTTGTTCCCTTCTGGTTGCAGACCTTCCCATCAGAGAGATGCCTTGTACAGAAAAAGTTATGATGTGCTTTATGTGTGTGTATATTTGTATATAATGTGGTCCTTCCGAGGCAGGAGGCTTTACCATTATTTGAGTGTAGGTGTGTACAAGGTGTACTGGTTTTGTGGGTAGAGAACATGAAAAATGTAAACTTCCAAGGCTCAAATACCATAAGGCAAGTAAAATGAAATCACACTTTAAAAAAATCCTGGCGTTTAGACTGTTCTTGTTGACTCTGATGCCTGTGGGCTTGGCAGCGCTGGCAATGCCGACTCTGAGTTCTGTGCCAAGGTTTTTTCCAACATAATACTTGCTGACCTACATTCATGAGTGTTTCTTAATCTGTCTGTTAAAATAACACACCCATTAATTTGCTGAAGTCTTGTGGTGCAAGTTGCAAGATGGAAGATAAAAGAAATTCTGGCCTCAGAAAATATTTTCCTCAAACAAGGTGGAAATATTAATTGAAATAATTAAGGTAGGAACGTGTTAGTTTTGTAATGTATTCATCTACTGGTGGCACGTCTGGTGAGCTTATTTCATTTTACAATTCAGAAATGCTTTGCCCATTATAAGAAAAACACAAAATATCTGAGCTAGGCTATTTTAGAAGCAGGCATTTGTGTTACTTTCCTTTTAACATCTGTTCAGCTTTTCTACTGATGTGCAGGACTCATCCATTTGCTTTTCAGGCCTCAGTTTAGATTGCCATTTAAAATTATGAGTAGATTTTCAAAGGTCGGGGGTCCTTATGTGTGTATCTGAAGTGTATCTGTGTGAGGTAGGAATGTGTCTCCTCTGGTACAGCATGAGAGATGGAAGATGTAAAGCCAAGATGAGCTGTTCACAAACTTTCTGCAAAAAACATTGGAGTGGTGTGTATTTATTGGGTCCATTATCACCCATCTAGTTCTTGTTGCCAGAGTCACTTCAGTAAGGCCTTTTCCTTCTTGACATTCTATGTCACATCAAAATTAGCAAAGTACACCCTGTATTTTATGTGTGTTTGCACGGGAAATATGAATTATTTTTCAAAGACTTGTGGTTGAATTGTTAGTTCACTTAATGACTATTAACGCAAGATTCTTTTTTAGAATAAACTAATTTTTGGTGTGGATTTTAGTATAGAAATTGTATCAATCTTGATAGTATAGTATTTATGAAGTGTTCCTCTTTTTTTTAGACACCCTTTCACCAGCATCCAGTCCTTCATCCATTAATTTTGCCACAGCTCCAGGTAGTATAGATGAATCACCCAGTGGAGCATTAAACATTGAATGTAGAATTTGTGGGGATAAAGCCTCAGGCTACCATTATGGAGTACATGCTTGTGAAGGTTGTAAGGTACAGTCATTATTTTCTTCTTTAGAACTAAATCATTTTGCTTTATTTATGGGGTAATATGAAGATTAACATTTGGTACATAAATGTTTAATTACTACAGCTCTAGCCATTACAATTATTTAAATAATAAACTTATCTGTGATCTTTTTTCTAAAGTAAGTCATCCAGATACCATAACTCAATACCAGACCTTCATCAAGCAGGAGCAATTCACAATGATAATTTTAATGCTGCTTTTCTACATGTAGTTAGTGAAATGCTAAAACAAAACACTAAACTGTGACCAAAAAAATTTTTAAAAAATTAAAAATCAAAGTCTTCTTGCTCCACTAGTGTTTTGTTTTGGGAGTATGGCTGGAAGGAGTATGCCACATTCCTGTTATAAGAGCAACTAATCCCAGGTTTCTCACCTCCACCACATGCTGCCTGAATCCCTTAGTATTGTGCCTTTTGTAGTTTTGGGGCCAGGGCATGTCTCTGTCACAAATTACTCTTATCATTAATGCATAATTCTTGGGGTGATATGACCCATCAACTGTAAGATTCTTTTTCCTATACTATTTTAGATTTTTTTCTATATTAGAAGGTAACAGGAGAGAAATAACGGTCTTTGTGTACAGCTTTCTTTCATGCATCGTGTCAGTATGATCATTTGAATGCAAATCTTATGGAATAATGCAGAATATGTATTAGAGATGGGGAACCAGTTCCTAGCCAGGTGTGTCCCACAGCCTAAATGACATGTTGCTCTGTGATGTGACACAAAATGTTGTGATGGCTCTGGATTTGCTGTCCCTGTGATTGGGCAGTGTGTGACCAACCTTGCATTGCAGACTGGAGACATCCTGGAAAGACCAGTTGAGGTAGAGACTGTTCTACAATAAACAGTTAAAAAAAAATTACCTGTATGATTGAAGCTTAGTAATCAACATTCATTAACATTACATATTGTTTTTTTCAAACTTTTATAGGGCTTTTTTAGAAGAACAATTCGTTTAAAACTCATCTATGATAAATGTGATCGCAACTGCAAAATTCAGAAAAAAAATCGTAATAAGTGCCAATACTGTCGTTTTCAAAAGTGCCTTTCAGTTGGAATGTCACATAATGGTAGGTAAGAGTGCTCTTAATTTGTTTGTTCCTACCCAGAGTCTGCTGCTGGAGGCAGGCATTTGGATAGCATTTTTACTCACACACGATTGAACCTCAGATTTTTTTACAGGATAGATCGCTGTGGGGGATGCCAGTTTCCCTGATGGGTTCGTGTGGTTTATACAGAGCTGCCAAATGTGCTGTTTTGAGCTTTACACAGTTGTGCTACGTGTCGGTTTGTCCATATGAATGTCCATTTATTTGCTTTCTTCACCCCAGAACTTTGGCACCAGTACTCCCATTGAAACAAATTTCAATACTGGAAGAATTCTGATCAAGGGTTTTGTAGAAGAGTAGGAGGAGAACAACTGCTTTCATTGTGAAAGGGAGTGACGTAGGCTGGAAATCTGTAGGAAAGCAGCCTTCATTATTTTTCAGGTTACAGTGCAACAGCTCTTGGGCAGATGGTTCAGAAAGTGAGGGGGGGAGGGCAAAGGTCTGTGCTGACTGTGCAACAGGAATCTGGTAGATTGTTAAACAGAATGGTAAAAATTCAGAGTATTTAGATATCCAGTTTAAAAGTTATGTTGTTGTTTGTGCCAGTGATTTAAGATAAGGGTGGCAAGCTTGTGGCTTACAGACCAATTTCAGCCCACAAGACAGTTCTGTGTGCAGGACGTAGCTTGCTGAGCAACATGGGTGAAGAGGGAGAGGCCAAGCCATGAGAAAGCACATCTCACTTGGCCAGATGACCGTACTTTGCTTTCCCTGCTTGGCTCTGATATTGTCCAGGTTGAACTTGGGGGCAGGTGCAATGTGAAAGTAGGTAAAAATGCTGACCTAGGTAAAAATCTGTAGGAGACAAATTTACTCAGGAAACTGCACAGTTGGGATAGGTGGGGTGGGAACGTCATTGGGGAAACTGCTTGTGACATTGTCGTCTAGAGTCCCAGCAGGAGGTATTGTGAGAGTTGACTTTCTGGTTCTGCAGAAGCCTGGCTCTCTTGTGGTAAGCCTTGACTGAGATTGAGGTCCATAGGGAGAGGGTTGGTAGTCTCTGCAAGACTGGGGATAACCATCCTCAAAAAGTGTGCTGGACAACAAAGTGACATCTCAGGTTGGGAGCTGGGCAGGGAGCCGTTCTGGTTGGCAGGAATTGATATCCATGTGAAGCTGTTTCATCCTGCTAAAAACGCTGTGGCTACTGTGCTCCAGTTGAAGAGAATAGCCACAGTTTGATTGCAGCAAACGTGGGAGGCAGAAGGGTAAAGGGATGACTGCTGACTTGCTGGCAATACTTCTCAGGAAAAGCACTACAGCTAAATTTACACCCATGATCTTAAAATTGTAAGTTTTAGTTTAAAGGAGGTATTCTTCCACTTTTTCAACAGGTGTGATGTGACTACCCACCCTTAAGGGGAAGGAAGCACCTAAGCCAGATTCCAAACAAGCTTTCCTTGTTGGACTTCAATGGAAGTCCACAGCTGTATTTCAGATCATGCCTAGAGTAACCTCCTTATGGAGGTCATGAGACCCCCTGGGCATGTTGAAAGGCTGATGGTGTTCATGCCTTGAATTGCTCACTGTAGGCAGTGAGGTCGTGTCCTCACTGGCTGGATGCTGAAATGCAGTACAAGCAGCTCACTATATGAGCCATCTCAAACACTTGCACACCTGCCAAGGGTAAAATGGGGCTGGCTTAGCTTAAAACTTAAAACTGAAACTGAAGAAGGAGGTGGACATGCTCATGAATGGCAAGACCACTTGCCCAAAAACCAGGAGACCTCCATACACAGAGGTGTTTCAGACTTGCATTTCCTGCCTCTTGGAAGAATATCCCAATTACTACTAGATTGTGTATTCAGACCGTTCTCCTCTCCAGTCTTGAAGGGCTAGTCTGTTGAGAAAGCAGTATGGAGTGTTTGGGGTAGAGGAGATTGTGTTGCTAAAGCCTTTGAGCTGTAAATGCAGGTCTTTGGGCTGGTATTCCCACTGGCAGTACAGATGTGTTGAATAAAGAACTGGATGGCCCTGCAGGTTCTGAGCCAGCAGTGGGATTCAGGCCTGACTCCACTGCAGCTCTCCAGCTTGTGTGTGTGCTTTCTGCCAAGCTCCTGTCATGAGTTTACTCAGTGTTTCAAGAGTTCCCAAGGTGGACTTTGAGTTTCACGTTGGGAGCTGTAGAACTCAATAAGGAGAGAACAAAATACAAGTATATTTAGGTAAAGTAGAAGGGAAAAGGAATGTGTTCTAGCTCACTGCAGATAGCACTTTGTGTTCCAAAACACCTGATTTCCTTCAGTTTAGCATATTAGTCACTGAATGTGTTGGGAAGGAGGCGACTTTGTCACCTCTACCTCAGTTTTTCAGGACAGAAAAATCTAACTGCTCTAATCAGAAAAAGGCTTAAGTTCTTGTATAATTTGTGTTTGTTTTACAATTATGTCTTCCCATCAGCAATACGTTTTGGACGAATGCCGAGGTCTGAGAAGGCCAAGCTCAAAGCAGAAATTTTAACAGGTGAAAATTATGTAGAAGATTCAGAAATGGCAGATCTTAAATCACTTGCCAAAAGAATTCATGATGCCTACCTGAAAAACTTCAATATGAACAAAGTTAAAGCCAGAATCATCCTTGCAGGGAAAACCAATAACAATCCAGTAAGTACTTTTTCTGTTACTTTAAAGTAAAACTGACAGACACATAAGGTGATTGTAATAATTTGGTAGACTCTTCAGCAAATCTTTTAGAAAATAAATATCATGGTAATATATATATGAACTATTCAAAGCAAATATCTATAGTAAGTATGGTTGATTTTAACTACTATCAGAATAGTAAGAAACTTTAGGAAAATCAGGTGATTTGTAAGCGGAAACTCATAGCCCTAAATTGTTGTTCTTAATCAAAAATGAAGTGATATCTGAATACCTCTTGATATGGGGAGAACAGTATAAAATTATTTTCCTATTATGACTGTGAAAAAAATACGTATTTCTGTCAAATGCCAGGAAAAGTACTATTAGCTTGTAGGGTGTACAGGTGCTCTGCATGACTTTTGTTTTAATCAGAATAATATTTATAGCAGGAGGGGAAAGAAAACTTGAGTTTGTAATTTTTTGTTTACAGTGCTGGCCATTTCCTCACCCAGCCTTCCTGGTCTTTTCTGTATGGTTCCTTTGAAAGGCAGAAGCAAGCAAGGTTGTGAAGACACATATGCTGTAGAAGTTATTTTTCTTTCAGGGTAATTTAGCCAAGGTCTACCTAATTTGATCAACTGCTTTTTGTTTGGTAGCACATGGGAGAGTATAATTGATGTAAGGACTCGCTTATTTCACTTTATGCATCTTTATTTAAGCTCCTCTGTGATTTTTGTTACTTTTATGTAGAAGGTAAGTATCTTATTTTTTCAGCAACTTGTTTCAGTAAGAATTTGCAGGGAAGAAACTTTCCATATGCCAGAATGAAAACCATGTAAGTGTGGGGATGAGTGTTATCAAAATTGTAAGCAAGCTGTCTTCTCCATTATGGAATTTGGCATATAATAGTCTAGTCTAGCCAAGCCTACAGCTTTCTGCATTAGTAGAGGGACACATGAATTATCCCAGTCTTTTTCATTGCACTAAAAAGGAGTGTAAAATGAGGCACAGGCTTAAACATTTTGGGGGTACAGGCTGACATGAGCCTGCAGTAAATGCGACCTTTAGCTCCTCACTGCAGAAAATCAATTTTTGTAAATGCCACCTTTAGCTCATCACTGCAGAAAATCCATTTTGTGCCTGTGTCAGGACCGTAAGCCACAACCTGTGTCACACATGCAGGGGTGTATCCTAGAGCACTTAATCCCAGTTCTTGTATTTGAATGTGTGTGGCCACAGCCACGGGATTGACCAGCCAACAGTGACCAGCACGCACATGCCCAGGTGAATATGCACATAAAAATTAATGGAGAATCAGCCCCAGGATGTTGCAAATAGGCTGCTATCACTTTTTTTCTGTATGGAGGGAAGAGCAAAGATGTTTTAGGCTATTACATCACCTCTTAAGAAAACAAACATTTTCATTTTACTTTTCAGCAGAAAAATTTTAAAAGAAGGGGGGTTTTGGTTGTAATTAGCAACCCGTTTGTTTCAGAACTGTGCATTAACAGCTGATTTCAGTGAATCCTAATTTTTGGCACCACTACAATTAATTTCAGAATGAATGAGCGTTTTTCATGATGACATGATGTCATTCTTTAATTTAGCTCCCAAGTCCTTAGCCATATCTCTTTTTTGCATACTGAAATGATGTTTCTTTAAAGTGCAAAAGGCAGTGTACATCTTTTACAGCTTTACAGATGTGTTGTGTTTCTTGCTTTGCCACTTTCCATTCATACCCACTTTCCCGAAGTTCTGCTGTGTGTAACTGTGCTGGAGTGAGATGGAATGTGCAGTAGCCATAACACTTAAAAATAGAAAACCATAGGAACCTGACCTGTTGGACAGTTTTCTGAATGAAACAAGTGAATCCTATGACTTCCTGACAGAACATGATGTGTTCCCATGCTATTTAATCTGAGATGAGCAAGGCAGCACAATAAGGGTGCTTGTAACTAAGTTTCTGTTCAAGACCAGTTGCTCTGAGTTTTCTAGGCTGGGAAGCACTGGGGTTTGTTGTTTTACTTTAGTGGATTGTTCTTCATTTTGGTTGTTGCTCTGCAGATATGTATCAGAATATTTTTGAGTTCTGATTATTCTTAAGAAAGTCTGAATACAGCTTTTGATATGATCTTTCAAGAGAGTGGCTTATCTATTTGTAAAGCATGTACCTTTTGAAACAAAGGGATTATGGAAAAGACCAAATTTTGTGTTTGGTGTTCTAGTGGGATTCCCTGTTTAGGTATGACTCAGCATCAACTGCAGCTAGAAAATTGGGACAACTGGGACATTGTCTATGAAAATCTCATAATAAAACACAAGAGTAGTGTAGGGTTCACATTCTTATGCAAATATGCTGCCCTATGTATTGAAATGACTGTCTGTATTCCCCCTAGGGTACTTCAGGAAAGCATCATGATGTGCATCAAGTGTAGTTAGTTTAGGAATCAATAGGAGTGTAGGCAGAATAACCTGGACTTCTGGAGAAGGTAATAAAAGTCTTTTGTGAACCCTCTGAGACTGGCTCTGAGATGGATATGTGCATACCAAGCACAGGAGTGCTGGAGCTTCACTGTAACTATTAGATAAAACTGAATTAAAGATATGCCATATATCTTTACATTTGACTATTTGCATTGCTGTTTGCAGAGCAGACTTGTTAGGTATTGCATTTTGTCACACACTGTTTTTCTTGATGAGAAGCATAAAAACTCGGGGTTTATTGAGTTGAGGACTGATTAGCATGGATGTTAAAGTTTATCAAAATTCTTATTCTTTAGGAAGAAAACTATTAAATAACCATTATTTAGTGACTGAAGTAGTGGGTTTTTTTCTCTGTAGCCATTTGTTATACATGATATGGATACCTTATGTATGGCAGAGAAGACTCTGGTGGCAAAACTGGTAGCCAATGGGATTCAGAACAAGGAAGCAGAAGTTCGAATCTTCCACTGCTGCCAGTGCACATCTGTGGAGACTGTCACAGAACTCACAGAATTTGCCAAATCCATCCCGGGCTTCTCCAACCTGGACCTGAATGATCAGGTGACACTGTTGAAGTATGGGGTGTATGAAGCCATATTTGCCATGTTGGCCTCTGTGATGAACAAGGACGGGATGCTGGTGGCCTATGGGAATGGATTTATAACCCGGGAGTTCCTGAAGAGCCTGAGAAAGCCATTCTGTGATATAATGGAGCCAAAATTTGATTTTGCAATGAAATTCAATGCGCTGGATTTGGATGATAGTGATATATCCCTTTTTGTTGCTGCCATTATTTGCTGTGGAGGTAAGCATTATATATTTGTTTTCTAAGGTAGTAAATTTTAATAGTTCCTTCTCATGAATTAAAAATTTTAATGGAAAAGCTTCTATCCTCTGGAAGATTCAATTCTACCACTAACTACACTTTGAGGAATCATTATAAAATTATGACATGTGTTCTTTTGCTTGTTTTGAGAACAGATCGTCCTGGTCTTGTAAATGTAGGACACATTGAAAAAATGCAGGAGAGCATTGTGCATGTACTGAAACTTCACTTGCAAAACAACCATCCTGATGACACCTTCCTCTTCCCAAAACTTCTCCAAAAAATGGCTGACCTCCGACAGCTGGTCACAGAGCATGCTCAGCTTGTTCAGATAATCAAGAAGACTGAATCTGATGCACATTTACACCCTTTACTACAGGAAATCTACAGGGATATGTATTAAGGATTTTTAGTATTTTTTTCCACAATATTTAAAGACAGAGAAATACAGATGGGAGCAAAACTACTTGTACAGTTACATGCAGTTCACTCAGCCCAGAACAGGAAAAATCTGAAACTGGGGAACTGGAGTGTTACACTTCTTTTGGTTTGGGATCTTTTGCCTTCTTTTGAAAAAGTGCTGCAGAAAAATACTGGTCAGAGTGCTCAGTGAAGTGTCTTACAATGGTTCTTTTATTTCGAAATTTGAAGATTGGTAAGGAATACATATTTGTATAATAAATCAGAATGTTAAGTAACAGAAATGAACAAAATTGTATTTCCTCTTGGCTTAGTCATTTTAGTACTAATATAACAAACTCAGCACCTTCCTCCCAGGTATCTGCACAATCAGAAAAATGATGCACTTTTGCCTAATGGTAATTACTGAAAACTAGCTAACACTTTTTCTTAAAGCATTCAGTCTAGGTGTAGCAAATGGCTGGATATTACTGTCCATACACTTCTAAAAATTTGGAAAGATCTTTTTGATCCATTGCTGCTTTAATTCCATGAAATTATATACAGCTTCATCTAGTGTTACATTGGCATACTTAGGGTTAGCATGTTTAAAAGATGGTTCTCTTACGGAATTAAACAAAATCCAAAGAGTTATCTAAAATACAGCAGAGATGCTCCAACAGGTGTGTCTTGAGGAGTAAACATGATAAACTGATGGGACCTTTTAGTTTCAAAAGTCTTTTAAGGAAATGTGAAAATAACACTTAAGAAAAATATGTTGTATATCCTGTATTTTTGTAGAACTTGTAAAAGCTCAGGATGCAGTTTTGGCATAAAAATACTAGTTTGAATTAGCAAGCGTTTTGGAGAGACTGAAAAATCTGATCCTACCCCAGGAAAAAAAAAGAATTTTAACTTTCCAGCAGTGATCCTGCACTCTACTGCAAAGGAATGATTGGATAAGAAAGGCACCAGCTTCCTTTAAGTGTCCCAGCAGTATAGTTGTTTGGACCTGTTTACTTTTCTGATGAATACACTGCTTCATTTTTTTACCCATTTGTATATATTTCTATACCTTCTTCGGCCTCGTTGATAGAAGTATTTGGTACTTGTTTTCACTAGATTTTGTCTGTGTGGATATGGTGACAGTAATACCAAGAGCAGTGTTTGTATGTGTAAGACTCTGTCATTGTATGAAAGGCAGCACAGCTGAGAGTAAGTTTATCATGCTTCTAGGAGTAAACTGATTTTTACAACTGCACTTTCTGTATTCCTGGTGCAAAATAAGCCACAAGGAAATGGCTTCCCGACTTTGCCACTTCATGGGCTCTTTTCTGAGAGAGCTGCCCAGAAGTGCCAGCTGCATGCAAGGCATTCTGCTGTTTCTCTTTCGTTTCTTTGATATGTTTGATATGGTAACTTCCCATAATTACCTCTTAATTTTACTTTCTGTTTCACAACAACGAGGTCTCAGGAACAATCCCAGCATTTTCACTACAGTTAAGCTTTTAGTGGCACATGAGGACACTGTACTTGTTTTATTGTGGCACATTTGAAGACACCAGAATCTTCAGTGCCAGGATTGAGTGACGAAGTGAGAACATGACACTGCCGTTCCTATTTCAGTGGCATTGCTTGTTTCTGTCCAGGACCACAGGCACAGCTGGATGCTGGAAAAATTACAGGTTTAAAGGCAACTTGGGGTTTATCTGGGCAACGACTGTGGCAGAAGTTATAGATAGATATAGATATGTTTAGTGTAAAATATTGAAGCACAGGCCTCAAATTTGGTGAGCATCTAGGGCAGGATAGAAACAGTAACTGCATGTGCACAAAACTTCCTCCCCTTCCCCGTTGCCAGCAGGAAGAACAGGCCTCAAACACTCAGAGAGGAATGTTGGTCTTGCCAGGAATTCTCAGATGAGAAATGGGCTGCCTTTTGTGTCCCAGAGCAGCACACAGTGTGCCCTCAGAAACAAAGGATTTTAGGAATGCTGCTGCTTTATTCTCCCAGCCAACCCTATTTCACTGAGGAGCTGTGGGGTTTAGGCCATGGAAATAATTGATCTGCAATATTGCTGATGCAAAAAGTTGTCAAAATACCAGCCGTTCTGGATGGTGTTCTGAAACTGTAGGAGCCAACTGTTAGTTTATCTTCTAAAAAGAAAAGGATAACATGAATTTTTTTCCCCCCCAAAGCTCAGATTTTTGCAAAGGGCAAATTTCAAAGTTGTATTCCATATTCTAGGTGTACTGTAGGTTGTCAGGAAAATCAGACACAGTCAGTGTGCATAACTGTTTTGCCAGTGCTTTTTCTCAAAAGTGGCTAAAACACTTTAGTAACACTTAAAAACATGGCAAATTAATAATAAATACTTAAACTCTCAGCAAAGCTATAAAGAATTGCAAATAGAGTAACTCAGTTAGACAAAATTTTACTGTTTTAGCAGCTGCTTGTAATAAGGTCCTGTTATTAGCATGAGAAAAGTGCATCATTTTTTTGTTATTTGAAAACTAAGAAAATTTTGGCTACTTCCTTGGACATTAAAAGTTTAATTTCTGTTTTAAATTAAATTGCAGACCCTTAATGAGAAAACAAAAAAAAAAGTAAAGAGAACACATCTCTGAATTACAGAAATATGAACAAGATGTTAACACAGCCTAAAATTCTGGATGGATTCCACTGCACATTCCCACAGTCACTTCAAAGAGTGGCACAGGGCAGACAGTTCCTTTCCCAAGAATTAATGAGCAAAAGAGCTTCTAATTTCTGCATTACGCTTTTAAGGAATTACATTTGCTCCTTCAGGAGGTGAGTACAGCAGGTTTTGGCCAAGGAGATTTTAAAGTTACTCTGTTTATGTTGATTCTTAAAAAAAAAAATTGGAATCCAAACTAGTCTCAGATCTATTTCTGATCTATTACTTCAGCATCTCCCCTATGTGCAGAAAAACTAATACTTTAAAATACCCCATCTATGGAGGGAAGAAAAGTGATCAGATTTTAGGATTTAAATGGTATTAAAGATTTATTGGCTCCTCAGATACAGTTTGGATCTGATTTTTGCCAAGATAACTCATTTTACTGTCACAGGATGGAAGAACTCTGGTTAGCAACCAGGTCCCACAAACAGTTTAAGGCAAGAAACAGCAGATGCATAGAGAAATATCCTGGGAAACAATGGTATGACTTACCTAAGTTTTCAGCAAACCTAGAGATTACTCATTTTTGAGCATTGTTTGGGGAAAAATATTTATTTATTTATTTATTTATTCTGGTACCCTGGGTATTTTTTGTCAAAGGGTAAGGGAAGAAGAAAAGGAAGGTTTTGTGCCAAGCATTAGGGAAGTCTGATATTCCTTCTTCTCTCCTCCTTAAATATTTCCTTTAAAGCTGCTGTTTAAAAAAAGTTAGTTACTTTGTACCTTTCAAAATTTCCGACCTTACTTTTGCTTTAAACACGACTGACACCTGATGGGAAAGTTTCCACTTACAGAAACTGCATCTTCCGTGGCGTTTAAAGAAACCATATTTTGCGTTAATTGCCATTTCCATGTGCCTTTGTGCTTTGGTTCCAGCAGCTGCTGCAGAGCTGAAGTGCTGCCAGAGAGCAGAGTTTTGCATTATTCTTGCCCCACGAGATCTCGGAAATACCAGCAGTTGCACTAAGCCCGTTCTCATGAGAGAGCTGGCACAAGGCTGCACATCAAAGAGCTTATAATAAGCATCTAAACATTTGTTTGTTTATTCAGACTGCTGAAACCTGGGGAGATTTATTCATCACGAGAGCTGGGTCACATACGATTGAGTTTGAATTTCCTCCTTTTTCCTGATAGAAAGCCTGGACAAACTTAGGCCCCATCTGAGGCAGAGCAGCTGGGGGATATCCTGCTGTGGCTGCAGAGGAACAGTTTCAGTCTCTCCTGAAAAGCTCCCTGTGACTTAGCTGAAAATCTGCAACTGCATTTGACAAATGCATTTGCAGCTGTCGTTGTACTGTTTAAGCATAAGGTCTTACAAATAATGGTCCCTCTCAGAAACCCCTCGTCCTTTAGGAAGTATTGGAATGTAAGGTGGAGCATGGTATCTGTGCTTGCTTATGTCCCAAGTGCTTTCCTCATAATCAGTTGCATATAATTTTTGTATTTAGGTTTAATCAGCTTTATTATCCTTCTTTTACTGGAGATTTAAATTATATGTGGGTTTGATATAAGATTATTGGTATTATAATGTGTTGTGGGATTTTTTTTAATTTCATGTAATACCATTTCTTCATGTTTCAATTTATAAAATACAAGAATATAATTGCAAGGTATAAACTTTCACTAAATTAATTACAGAGGTGCTTAAAGAAAAATGTGTAAATTATTTAATTTAAATATTTGTTGCATACTTTATCTTGCAAATCCTTTGTACAGTGAGGAAGTATTTGCTTTTATGGGCTAAGAATGAAGGGGCTGATGTCAAAGACAAATTGCTATTTATTCCTGTCTGGTCTTTTATTGCTGTATCATTTGTGAAGAACTATCACAAATTCTTCAAAGTTGTCAGTGTTTGGTGTTGATGATTATAACAAAACTTTGTATTTTCACACAGAACATAGATTTCCTTTTATTTAATTTTAATAAAAGCAAGTCTAGTTGAGGAATAGCTGCAATCCCAAAATCAAAGTTTTAATTCAAGTTTACTGAGAGGAAAAATAGTGTGTAGAACTGAGTTCGTCTTTGTTTTGCAGCATGGTAGCTCATTTTCCTTTGAAAAAAGATAAAAAGAAGCTGCATTTGGTTCATGCACCAGTGCTGGTGTTTTCTGAGGAAGTGACTTGTGGCTCACTGGGAATAACAACATGTACTCAGGATTATTCCCTGCCACCTGCCCTGAGGGCAACCTGCTGCTTTTATAGATGTATTTCAAACATGATTTGGCAGCGCAAAACAAGATGTTGAAATGGCATTATTGGCTTCCCTACAGGAGGATTCCTGTGGGATTTTAAATAGAATTCAGAGTCTGGTCATAGGGATTCTCTTATCTGCTGCATGCAGGTGTGACAGTCTGTGCCTACAGCATCCTGCTAAGGAAATCTGATATAGGGATGAAGGTACCTTTCAAAGGTACCTAGCTTATTTTGCTGTATGAATCACCAAACACAGTAGCTATCACAAGCACAATCTATTACAAATGTTTTAGCTATCATTTGTACTTACTGCTTTTTATTTGTAACATATAACATTTTATTTCCTCAAATTGCTGCAACTTGGCATTTTCACTTCATCAGTGTCACCACACAGGTATGATGTCTCCTAAGGTGTTTGTGTCATGTTTGCAAAAGCTCTGCTGGACTTCGCTGTGCTAACCTGCAGCCTTTGCATTGTCATTTCACATAACACAAATCCACTGTGTAACTGAGCCCACCCTAAGGAAGGCTGTTTCCTCCTTTTTTTTCCATTGGGGTCACAGTTTTTTAAAATCTTTTTCTGTTTCTGAAACTGAGGTGTTTTTTTCCTTGAGCTCCTTTATTGCATCAGTCAATCTTGTCAGATTCCATTGTTGTGGATGTTTCGTAACAGAATTCCTGTTGCAAGGACCTCAATTTCAGATGAGCTGCCTCTGCCAGGGGGTAGGCAGCGTGCACAAGAGACTTCTGATTACAGGCTGAACCTTAAATAAGGACTGCAAGATCAAGCATGAGGTAATTGAAGTAGTAGTAGTATTTTGGTGTATTTTCTCAGGTTGGATATGCAGGTAATCCCTGTTGTGATAAAGACACCAGCCTTATGCTCAATGCCAGGAGTTTATGGCGTTCTTTCCACTTGAAAGAAAAAAGATTGGCAGGATGGGGAAGTCCTGAGCCACTGAAATCCCGGCGGTGTGTTGTCCTCCGGGTGTGTAGGAGTGCAGTGTCACCAGGCAGCCCGTGTGGGATGTGCTGCAGAGCTGGGAGCAGGTCACCACCCTCCTGCGGGTGACTCACTCGCAGCCGCCTCTGCTCGCCCCGGCCCATCCACATCACATGGCTCATTCCCACACACAACAGCTCTCTCTATGGAGTCACTATGCCTTGGCCCTTCGGCAGAGGAGGAACGTGCATGGTTTAGTGACTTCTTTAGTAATAAGGACTCTAACCAAAGTTTCAATGCTATCAATGTGCTCCAGGACCCACTCTGAGTGGTTTGACAAAGTCTGGTTTAGCAGCTTCTCCGGGAGCTGCCTCCTGTGCAGCTCCTGCTGTTCCACAGCTCTTACAGAGTTGCTCAGAATTTTCTCTAGGAATGCAGCACCACAGCTTAAGTGTCCCGGGATGCTGAAGCACTCCCTCATATCTTAAATGGTCTGTTATCTGGTAGGACATAAAAAAAACACAGTGTTGTTAATGTTGCCAAACCCTAATCAATAGAGCTAACAAGTGTTTCATTAAATCAAGATATCAATATTAAAGAGAAAACAAAACAGCTTATTGTTTCCAGTCATCTGATTTTTAGGAGGTTTTGAGTACATTTTACTACAGTAAATACAGAACGTAGAACAAGCAGACATTTCTTGCAAGTCGTCAAACCTAATTCTCATGGAATGCTTGTTTCCCAGTAAAAACCACTAATTCAAGCCAAGTTCCCAAGTTTCTTTCTGTTAGAACAATGCAAATGACACTTCCAAGGACGAATGGATGCCCTGGACTCACAGGGATTTTTCGGAAAGACAACGTATCTTGCACTTGTGAATGTTAAAGTCACATCTAGCTACATACAATGACGCATTCTCAAACGTTACCAGCCTACTGATCTAGGATGAAAAAACTTGAACTAAACTTTTTTTTTCTTTTTTACATTCTGATTTTTTCCACCTTCTTTAAAAATAAGAGGTTGAATTCACAGTGTTTGTATAGAGACTGGTAGGAACCTATGTGCTTTAATCCTTTCAGACTGAATGTAAACCAACTTAATTTGAAACACAGTTTTGCCTTAATGGTTTAAAAAAAATAAAGTATTTTTAAAAGTGAATTTAATGACTTGTGCTAATCTTTTATCTCCAGGAAAGGAACTCACTGCAATGTGACATTCAAAAGGCAGCATATTTGAAGCATCTTAAAGTACTGATGCTTCCCTGTGTGCTGTCACCTTTTGAAGCAGGAGTGGGTGTGTAACATACTCAGAGACATTGTATATACATTTATCTCTATATATTACCTAAGTTTGGGGCTGACCCACCATCCAGCTGTGATCTTTCATATTCTTATGGGTTGTATGGCTGTTTTGAGACATCCATGGAATTCAACATGTAACAAGTGCACTTCTGTATGAAGGGCAGCACTGACTAACTCAATTATCACATCTTCAATTAAATCAGTCAAGGAAATACAGGTAGCTGTTTTCCTTCCAGAATCTGGGGGTATTTTAAGCAGGTGAGAGAGTGCTGAGGTAAAAATTACAGCAGAGGAAAAAGACTTGGGTTTCTTCATCAGCTGTGCTCAGGAGCATGGAAGATCTGATGTTGAGTACTTGGAGACCCCAATGAAAATAACCTGTAAAGGCTCTGCATCCATGAAAAGCAGGAAAGGTTGGGCATAGTATCATTCAGCCTGTGAAATCACATATATACCAAAATATGATGATACTGAGACCATAATGCTCATGTTCAGTGGGAATACAAGAATGTGGAATATATAAGTTCTAACAGCTGGGCACAGATAATAATCCATTGTCATTGTCATTCCTTCATGCCAAGTGGCATGTAGGGCAGTCTCCTTTCCCTCAAGACCAGAGATGCCAGAACACATCTGCTGTCCCTCTGCAGTACCTGCTGGCTGTTCTGCACCTACCAGATCTTCACAGCCAGGTAACTTGAAGCAGAGGCATCCCTGACTTAGTTTTTCCTGCTGTACAATAAATAACTGAGCTGTACTGAGCCAAATTAAATATTCTGTAGTTCTGCTCTGAGGTTCTGCTCCCTTTTAATACAGAGTCTTTTCCCCCTCCAGTTCAACATAACAAGTACTTAAAGGCATGGAAATTTCTGAGGGCTTTAAATGACTCCTCAGTCATATTGTAAAGGCAAAGATAATGGTTATGAATAAATGAAATAACAGCATTTGTCTTAAAAGGGCATAGAGGAAGCTGAACAGGAGGGAAAACAGGTCACAGAGATGAGATCTTATTCTCATTGACATGGGAACTGCACTAGGCAGGCTTTTAAATCCTGCTTTTAAGAGTACAATCTGTTCATGAACAATGGGAAATCCAGGAAAGAAAATATTTCAAGGTATGTTTGCTGGTATAAACATATCCTGTGATCTCACATAACCATGTTGCTTTGGCAGCTTGATTTTAAGACTACAATTCCAAGGTAGGAAAGTGCTCTCTTCAGTTGTGGGTTTAGCACAGGACATGCCTTTGGTGTTTATACAGAAGAGATACAGACACTCTACAGCTTTTAAACAGTGTTCCTAACGTGAAACTGAAATATAATACCAACTATCTTAGGTAAGTTTAGTATCACTTTCCCTGAAAGTGTAGTCTTTTGTAACTGCAAAAAGGAATCTGAAATGTTGCCTCCTAACATGGATCTTTTTTTCCACAATTAGAGACATACATATATTTTATTTATTAAAGCACTTAAGGCTTGAAAAGGCTACTAATAGGTTCATTATTGCTCTTCCAGTCAGTGCAAGAAATTTCAGTCCTGAACAGACAGCATCAATATACTAAGTTCAGAAAAAAGAAAGATTTTAAGATATTTAAATGTCCTAAACAAGTCATTGAAATAATGTTGATTTCTTTTAACAGACATGTTCATTCAACTAAAATGATCGATTTTTGATATTGTCCTATTGCAACTTATATGGATGGAAGAGTTGGAAAAAAGAGATGTTAACCAAGGCACTAACAGGTTCTGAAGCAATGACCAACAATAACTAGCATTTAAAAAGTGATTTTGTGATTAGGGAGCATTCTAGATGTATTCTTAAGGTGTGTGACTCTGGTTTTACATAAAAGACCTAAATCTTAAAACAGTCAAAACAGATAACTGAAGAAGCTAATTTTTGAGCTAAACAAATTGTTGCTTTCCATAAGAACCTTTTGCCTTTTTTGCCTGAAACTGTGTTTCTGACATCCCTATTTCAGCTGCAGTTTATTTGCCCAGTTTAGGAAAGAATTTAGTGTACTAATGGAACTTTTCTATCTCCAGATTAACTGCTTTGAAAGTGAAAAGGAAGTAATCTTTATTGTAAAGCATAAGCCAGTCTTCTCCAGTTGCTGTGCTGACATGGACTGCAAGGTTAAGTGAAAAGTGACTGCAAGTGCAAGGGACTTGTAAATACTTTTATTGATTGCAGAAGCACCAACCTTCAGAATCTCAAGTCTCAATGCTGTGATAACATTAAGATTACCATACTGAAAAATTTAGGTATTATATTTATGACATTTTCTCATAGCACTTTTATTTTAGACTTAAAAATAAAGTTTTAAATTCCCTGCCTAATGTAATCTTATCAGGACAGCACTGCCAGATTAACAATTGGTGTACACTGACTTTCTTGGGTATGTACTGAATTAAGACAGATCAATCTGTTTTGGAATTTCGTAACACTGTAGGAGTTTCAAGAACAACACAAAGCACTAAAATAGCAAATGTGAAATCTGGACATGGTTCCTCTGCTCTGTGCTGTTTGGTTTCTTACTGCTAGCATTTCACATGGTGACAGCAGGCTCGCCTGCCTTCCTTTCTGGCTCCCCAGCACCTCGGGAGCCGCTCCCTGGCACGGCCAGCGCTGCACGGGGATGTCTGAACCCAAGCCAAGGGCAAGGCAATGTGCTGCTCTCTCCAGCAGTAGTGAGCTGATGAAGGTCACTTCTTTAAAAGGAGCAACGTGATAGTCTCCAAGCAGAGAGAGGAGAAACCCCAGCCAAAGAACTGTCGCTCTTGGGCCTTCAAGATTTATGCTTTGTATCCGTTTTTTCTGCAGGATTTCTGCTGGGGTTTCCTTTTATCCATGTCTTCTTTTATTTCCAAAGGAAAGGCGTTTAGGTTTTCCTTCACACAGGGGAGGCAGAAACTTTTGGAGTAGAACAGACTACAGTCCTGTAGAGAAAATAACATTAGTAGCAGGATACACAATGGAAATGTTTACATTCCAGTCTCATTAAACTACATTTGTGTTTAGAATTCTTCTAAAAATTAATTATTCTTCTTCTAGGCTGAAATATTCCATCAATTTAACTTTTTCTTACTCAACAATTCTAATATCTGGTTAGAGCCTACTGGGTGAAAAATAAAGCCCCCAAATCAACTGTGCCACTGCTTCTATTAAAGTGACCTTCACCAGCTCCCTGCTCCAGGCAATAGCAACACTCCTCCCTCAGCTTCCTCCTCCTTCCAGCACCATGCATGGGTTTCCTGGCCTGCTCACTGAATTCCAAATAGGATTTCATGGGTAAGCAGCAGCTGGTGTTGCTGATGGATTATATTTGGAGAGTGAATAAAGGTGTAAGAGATTCTATGAGTTTTACTGAAACAGCAGTTTTCCTCTAAGCCTTGGCTGATGAAGATTTCTACCTCCTGGGAGGATCTTCCAAATCCCTGCAATGGCATGTGAGACTCAGCACTCACACTCTTCCTCACCAGTCTCCATAAAAATGGCCTAAAGGCCAACATAAGTGCCAAGTACTGGGGTCTCTCACAACTGACCATCTTTTCCATAACTCCCAAGAAAATTATTCTTACTTCCATTAATCCATGCACTTGTACTGTCCTAGGACAGTATCACTATTATATCACTGTCACAGAGGTGTCCAATAACTGGAGTTGTTACATGAACTCTGTCCATCTGAGACAATTCAAATGAGATTTCATCCCTTACCCTCAATAAAAGCTAAAACCACACCTAGTAAAGTTTGAGCTAATGTCTCCCCTCTGAACTCTTGACAGCAAAGTATAAAAGCTGTTGTGCACAAAGAAGGTATTTTTGCTATCCCTGTTCCGTTCATAGCTTGTACCAATATTTATTATTTATAATAAATATTGACCAATATTTATTTTTTTCCCCAGGAGCTGTAACCAGATGTCAGTAATTGAGTAGAAAAAAGCAAAACTGATGGAACATTTTAATGCATTTGCAATGTAGAGTTTGAACAACTGGAAGAGAAACTAATTAATGTATTATTCCTTTGCTCTGTGGTGAGATTTGACATCCCTGGTTCTCTTGACGTACTGATCACCAAATTCCAAATAGGATTTCATGGGTAAGCTGGAATTGGTGTTGCTGATGGATTATTCTTGGGGATTTAAGAATGAATAAAGACATCAGTTTAGATAGAACTAGACATCTTTTGGGGAGAAATGGCTTCCCTGGGTCTTATCTAAATAGCAAAGTTTTCCCCTTGCCATGGTCATTTGCAGCTGGCCTTTCTCTGGGAGCTAGGCTAGGCTATTCCTGTGTTCCTGTTCCTCTCCTTGCTTTTGTTTCTTATGTCACTATCTAGGCTTTAGCAGCAGATTCAGCTGTTAATTATATCAAAATCACAATCAGCCTGCTTCCATGTGACTTGGAAGCTTGAGGAACAACTTCTCTTCATCTATTGTCCTTTACTTCAGCCAGGCCCCTTCATATTCAGGAATGAGTGCAAGGCCTTAGCCTCTGAAAAGCCCTGAAAGTGGATTTCAGTTGCACAACCTCCAGAGCCTATTGTTTTTTGTCTCTTGGTATCCTTAATACGTTAAGCTTCCAGTTTAAAAGGGGAGATTAGAGTTTAAGTTGGCCTGGCTATTGTTGCTTGCATTGCCAAATGGTACACAGCCCCCCAGCTCCAAGGCTCGGGGCTCCCAGTGGTGGCCACTGGGCCATAGCAAAGGAGGGGGGAGGTTGTTCCTGTGGGTGGGGTCCCCAATGTCAAGATGCAGGTCCTCACAGGTAACACAGGTGCTCAGCTTGCATTCTTTTGGCTGAAATGAATTGCCAGCTAGTGCAGATTTTGGCCAACAGGAGCTGGGGAAATCATGACTATGAACTACTGCACCCCTGAGCATGTACCCCTAATCCTGCTCTCTCAGACCTGGGATTTTCAGCCTAACTCTTCTTTCAATGCCCTATGAATTAAACTTACTATAAAGAGTCGAGCCCTTCTTTTAAACCCTTATCCTGGTACAGTTCTGTGTTTAATCAGATGATACTTTAATGTGTTTTCTCCGTTCCATGATCAAGGCAGAAGGGGGCCTTTTCAATTCCAAACTGAATAGTCCAATTCAGGTAAAACTGAGCTGCCAAAGCACGCCAGCATAGTTTATTTCTGTTTTGACATGAATCACGTCTGAAAGTTATACATATATATATATATATATATGTATATATATATATATATATATATAGGGATGGTATCTTTACCACAGTACGTAAAGGAAAGGCTCTGCCCATCCATACCCAGGACTGACCCTGTGTGACTGGAAACTGAGTGGGAAGCAGCTGTGGTATTACATTTATCACTTGATGCCTACAATCATGTCCAAGGTCAGTGCTCAGTCACCTTCTGCTGAGGTGAGCAATAAGGGTTGAAACTTCCTCCCTTTCCTCCTTTCTTCTCCAAAAGCCACCTTTTTTCCATGTCTTTAGAAAGTGTTGCAATAAAACAGAAGTAACTATTTTAAATTACTAATATGGTCAGATTATATAATTTCCTCTCCCTTTTTCTGAAAAGGTAATAAGAAGGGCACTCAACTTGCCCAAGGACTTTTAAAAGCATTTCTATATCTTCCTTTTTGCGTGGTTTTGACATGCTTTAAGACATTACAGATAATCATTGGAATTATTCCCAGTTGGATTGGAACTAATGGCACTTACCAAGTCAGTCTGATAAAAGACTTGAGCAGGGTGATACAGGCTACAAAATGATGGAGTAAATTAACTGAGTGAAACTTCAGAGGATATTTGGAAATATTTAAGTTTATGAGCACTATACAGAACAGCTGCTAAGTCATGACTTCTATTGGCACAGCAACTGTAAGGAAATACACTTCAGCTAGCATGGGTTGTCTCATGAAAAGCCTAAAATCTGATCTGTCTCTCAGATCTCCCTAGGTACAAAAGCTAGCTAAAATCCCTTTGCCAAATCCAAGGTCAGAAAAGTCTTAATTTTGCCACACATTAGCCTAATACTATTCTGAATTACCACAATATTAAAAGCAACCTGTCACTAAAACCTTTCCAATTGGTCCAGCTTCTTTGCCAAAGAGGCCCAAGAAAGTACAATTTTCTTCAGCTTCCATTCCTATGTTTTAACACTTAGCTCAGGAGTGAACTGATATACTTGGGTCAAGAACAAGTAGGAAGCACAACCAATAAAGAGATATTATCCTAACTTTCTCTCTCTGTTGCCTTGGATAAGTTTTTACTTCTCTGGACTTTTAATTTTCCCTACATGAAGAGGAATATATGTGTTTACTTACTCTGTGGTGTGGGTGTTTAAAGCACTAATTATCGTTTCTGCAGATCTCTTTCAATGTTACCTAAGCAGTATTGCTAAATTCATTTTGAAACCATAGTCATATGTGTGATTCACTGTCTGGCCTGGCCAGTTTGGCAAGAAATTTATTCTCAATTATTTACAATCAGTGTTTTACTTTGAGTGATACCATCAGGGGAATCTTGAAAACTCAGATAACAAGCAGTAAATGACTAACAAACTTCCACAATCGGCAAAATAAGCAGGACTTTGAAAAAGATTAGAGGCTTCCATTAGCTCACTGCAAGTATCTTCTATTCATTGCCAAGGTCTAGGTTAACTGAAACAAACACATCTCTTAAAAGAAAAAGCCCCACTTTCATTCAGAAAAGCACAGTGTGTGCAAAGACCCTGAGAGGCAGAAATGCTCTACTTCTGACAGCTCAAACTGCCTCACTTGGAAATCTCTGCTGAATCCTTCCTAAATTCAAGACACTTCATTTGGGAATGAAAATAGTTAAATGCACTCAGGTTTGTCCCAAATGTGTCTGTGTTGCCAACCCTCTGCTGTTAAAAAGGAAGGATAAACCTGGCATGTCAGGGCAGGAATCAAGCTCCTAAGCCCAAACTCTCTGAGTAGCTGCACTTGGCTCCTCTTTGGGCTCTGTGTGGGAGGGAGTAAGCCCCTGCTACCACAGGGACAGCAGGGCTTTGCCTCCACACAGCTGCCCTGAGCAAACTGGGTCTGGAAACTTGAGCCCAGCCACCACAGCCACAACCAGGGAGTGCTGGCACTTCACCTAGTCAGAGCCTACAACTCCCTCTTGTAGCTTCAAAATTAAATTTAAAAAAATAAATAAATAAATTTTTAAAAACCCCCTGTGAGCTGCAATCACTTTTGGTGATTTTCAGTCGTTTAAATGTCAGAAGAGACTTCAGGGATAGGATGTTGAGAAGTACTCCCAGTGCAGGCATCTGAGTGTGCAAGCTCCCATGCCAGCTGCACATTGTGCCATGGAGGGTAGGAAAAAACAACTGAAGCCCCCAGCAACAAGCTGGGATGGGGCACAGATCTTTTCCCTAAAAAGGGGCTCAGGGCCCTGCATCACAGTCTGGGAGAGGACTGGTCACTCTGAGACTCTGCAGGAGCCAATGAACAGCAGGAAGACCCCAGACCCGAAATTCCCAATGGGAATGGGTGCACAGACTGTAGGGGTATAAAAGCCCAGGGTTTCCATCCTTCTAGGCTCCTCCTGGACGAAGTAGCCTGAGCTGTTCCTGATGCTGCACCATTCAATTATTAAACACTTTTTTTTCCCCTGAAATTGAATGCCTGACAAACTTGAGTAAGAAATTTCTTGAACAAGGAAATAAACCAAATCAGAAGGAAGGTGCATGCTCCTCTTAGCCCATCCTTGATGCTGTCTGCCCACAAGTCAGAATAGCAACTACACTGCACCAAGTGTGCCAGAATTCTTCTGGCTGTGTCTGCCCAACTCCCAAAATTTGAGACTCACAGTAAACAAAGGGGCCAGTTCTGCCTTGAGAAGAAGGAATTAAGAGAAGTAATTTTACACCACCTTTCTGGACTGCACTCAGATTTCACAGTTTAAGGTTGCCTTCCAGCTGCTACCTAAATTCATTCTTCTTCAGAGAGCAATCGTGACATGGTACAATTCTCCTCCCTGCTCACTCTAAACATTAATTTTTGCAAATAGGATGACAGCCCTGTGCTCTGAGTGACTAACCTAACAATCTATGGACATTTATATTCACTTTACAGAAAAAAACCACCAATCTACTACTGTGTGTGATCTATAGTGCCCTTATAGTGTGATCAATATTGCCCTTGCATTTCCGGGTGCTAAGGAAGTAGAAAAGAGCACTTCTTGTGCTTGAAAGGCTAGACTGTGCTCATCTGTAAATAGAACACTCATAGTTGCTGATCATTTTAATTTAATACTGAGAGCTTCATCTGGCAGAATCCACAAGAACATACAATTTTGTACTATTACAATTGTAGGACAAGGGGGAATGGTTTGCCTTGAAAATGGATTGTTTGGGATTTTGCTGCTTGATCTTTCTCTGACAGGTCACCAAGACTGGAACAAAGAGAAATGATTAAAGCAGCTTGTTTTGCTTGTACTGTACAACACACACTGCTCTGGTACACAAACTGCAATGAAACCCAACGATGAGGAACTTGTCTTTGTCAGGGGTGATAGGATCCTTCATGACATAGGCTTTTTCCAAAAGCCTGCAAAATAATAATTTCAGGCTTTTAAGTGTATACTTCACAGTAGGGGACGGTTGAGAGGGAGAAATTGTGGAGGCTGGAAAGTTATCAGCCCTTTGTACTTGATTTGCTCATCCTGCTGTTGTACATGAGGCAATGCAGCAGCTATACAGCTCCTTTTCTCTTCAAAACCTTCAACTCTGCAGCTGCCTTCAGTCCTATACTGCACTTTCTATCTCTCTTCCAAAAGCAGAGCAACTGGTGATCCTCTCAATGTCATCTTACTAAGTTTTTCTCAACCCTCTACCTTAAAGTAATTATCTTCTATTTTTTATGACAGGCACTCCTTAGCATGGCCAACTTCAGTACTTTGTCAAGTCACCATTTCAATTACACAGCTTTTAATCAGAAATTCTCTTCCAAAGCTGCATGCATGTGAATATAAAATACAAAGGTTTTATTGTTCTTGGTTATGTCACTGCTGTAAAGCTGAGGTCCCCAATTCCTGAAAGCAGAGAGCAGAGAGCCTTGCAGTTACCTCCAGTGTGCTTACTTTATATCACAGACTGTACTGTTTGCTCCAGGGTGTTGAGGGAGTGCATTTATTAATAATTTGGCAACCTGCTTGGGAAAATCTAAAGCTTTATTTTTTTCCGGGAGCTCCAGGCAAAATAATACAGAAGCCAATTGAGTGTCTGTCTGCACAGGGCACCCAGCAAGGGTACCTGACTTACCCCTGAGCTTAAGTCAAACTTGGGTTTTGGTAGTAATATGGATGAAAGGTATTCTGTCAACTCGTACTGCGTTCTCCTTGCCTCTGTACACACATAGGTGTGTGCGGGAGTGTGTCCAGCACTGTGTTCCTCTCTCCTTTTTCTGTCCACTCAAAGAGAAACAGGATTCCCAGCTCTCATCAGTGCAGAGCCATTGGACAAGGCCCCCTGTCCAGCAGAGTTCCTGCAGCACCGCATTCCAGATGTGTGAGCAAGCCAAGAAAGATGGGGTGTGAAGCTGTTTCTTAAAAGCATATATAGAAGTGTGATGCCTCAGCATTTTTCTTTTGATTTTTGCACCTGAGCAATCCAAATAAAGCCGAGATGTTAACACTGAGCTTGGATAACCTAAATTAAGATTCACATTTAGACTCTTCAGAAACGGACCTGATCAAAGCTGAGCCATTGCTCTCCTGACTGGAAGAAGGAAAACCAGTAGCACTGTGGGGTTCGGAATGATAAAGACAGCTGCTCAAGGACAACAGCCCCAGCAAGTGCTGATCAACAGCTGTTTCCATCCTTTAGGAAACAGAGCAGTCTTATTGGGGTGAAATGCTGAGTACATACCTGCCTTCCAGCTCCAGAGAATTCCTGACAATGTCTGCCTGATGGATTTGTTGACCATGATGGCCTCCATCAAGCTACTCATGCATTTAAAGCAAAGTGTTTTATTTTATGGGGAGTTTAATGTCTGCAGACAAAGCTGTAACTGAATAATTTCTGGTCAAACTATCCCTACTTAGCAGAAGGAGAAAAGGATTTGGTCCCAGAAAATATAAATACATAGCAAACATCCACACACCCTGATGTCACACAGTCTGACAAGGGATTGTCTAATCCACACAAAGAAGCACTGCTATTCAAAATCTACATCATGCCAAATAGCTCTTAAGAAGTGTTTTTGCCATGTATATTTCATTCATGCTCTGTGTATGTATTGCTCAGCAGAGGGAGGCTACAGTGGGGGAAGGGCTATTCCCAGAAATACCAGGTTGGCAGTCAGCAGTATTCTAGCAAGAAAATATTGGTATATTAGAGCTGTTAGTGGGGCTAGGAAATAGGTTAAATGCAAATTTTTGCATGGTATTGAAGCAAAAATTATTGACTTTCCTACCAACACTGACAATTTCTCCTTCTGCTTGGAAAAACGGAGATCATTTTAAGTACCAAGTGTCATGTTCAGGGTCAGTAAAGCACATTATTGGGCTCATGCAGTGCACACTACCAGGATTCTAATGCTCATAGCAGAAATGAAGTCTGTGATCTCAGAGGGCACTTAGACAACTGAGAGTTGAGTTTGGTGGTGTCTGCCCATAGTATGTGTACGGGGCTGATAACTCACACAGCTCACATCTGAACTCTCCTGGTGTCTGAACTTCTTTGGGAGCACCCATTCTTAAGCTACATGCAAGAAACACACACAAAAAAAAATCTTGTAGCTTCAAAACACAATGCTGGGAACATATCTGCAGGAAGACTAAAGACATCTGGTTTTGCAAATTAAAACCCAACAGAAAACTGACAATTGCAAACCTTGATTAGTAAATATTTTCTCCTCAATCAAGTTGGTTTGCCATGTCGCAGTTAAATTTTCCAATTATTTAGACAGGTCTATAAATTGCAAACTGGGAGCCTAACTGTAAAGTTCACCTATTAATTTGGAACATCCATGAAATAACTCAGGTGACAAAGCACATGGCTATGAGCTTGAAAACCCTCTGCTCAACTGAGGTCTATACTCCCTAAGTGCTTCACAGGACACTGTTCCCTATCTGCTGTGTGCAGTATTCCAATCCAGTTCTGCAATGCCTATCTCCTCCCTCAAACTGGAGCCATGAAAGGTTTTGGGACCCCACTCAGGAGGCAGGTACCAGGAAGGTAAATGTTGCAATGAAAAGACACTTTCTTTGCTTCTGGTTCACCTTGGAATAGAGTTTTGGAAGCTTACCCTTGGCTCCCTGTTCCCATCTGGCTTTCTATGGAAATGAGGCCAATGGAATCACCCTATACCATGTACTCCCAGCTGAGCACATCCACAGCCTGCCAAAGGACAGCAGGGCATTCCCACTCTTCCAGCTCTGAGCCAGCGCCTTTCCCTGCAGAGCTGATTCAGTTCACTCAGGCTACGTCCCTATTTATGCATCAGTTCACTAAGGCCATGTCCCTATTTTTATGCTTCAGCTCAGGGATTTTCTTTGGGGACAAATCGCCTGACTGTCCCCTCCTTACCCCACAGGTTTGCACCACAGAGCAGTCTCACAGCACACAAACCAGAGAGTTTCAGAAAAAATAAACCAAAATATGAGCTCCAGAAGCACATACAGAAGCACCTAACACACTCCAACCTGAATGCCTAGCTGGTGGCCATGTAGCCTACAGGCTGGCACCAGAGGTGATCTAAAACATCCCAAAACACAGAGAATGGGCAGCTGGTATCCAACACCCAACACCTTGGTCCATGATTTCAGTCTTACTAAATCACACTATGGAGTAACAAAAAATACTTTTTAATTTTCTTCTTCCAATATTTTTTTCCTTATTGCTTTTAAGGAATTAAATTGGCTTGCAGAGGAATCCAACAGCTGCTAACAGTAGCACAAGGTAAGAGGCAGAACTGCAGCACCAGCAGAAAGGCAGGGCTGAGATGAGGGACCTGCACATCCCTCTTTTGGCGACAGTAAGCTGCTATTTCTGCTTGCCCGACAGAGTGAAATTGAATCCTCAGAGACATCTGCTGACAAGGTGAACTAGGGGCAAGGTGAAGCAGAGCTGGGACTACTTGTCATCTAATGTTCCAGAAAACCAGGGAGATCCTCAGAGGCTACAGAGGCTTCATGAAAGACACCCAGTTCAGAAAGTCCTAGCCTGTTAAACCCTGAAGCTTAATTTTGGGGATGATCTCCCTTACCTCATCACTTCTTTACCCCCAGCCTTTTCTGGTCATTCCTGGCATTTCAGTAGCACAGAGTTCTTCAGATGTAACGCAAATGGGGCTGGACACTGGATTAATAAATAAATTCACCTTGAGAACACCTTAGAAAACAATATTTTTTCACAAATGATATGACCCTTGGATATTATGTGTTTTCCCTACTTCACAGGGATGATTGAGAGCATTTAATTAACTCAAGTGCTTTCAGATTTGTCACTTGTATGGCATGTACATTCTACCCATTTCTCCCTGTATATTGTAATTCAGATTATTCAAGCTATGCACTAACTCAGCTAAGAACTCTACTTTTTGAGCCCTGCATTTTAGGAACACCAGCCAGGTCCCCCCTGACTTACCTAACTTCACTTCTTCTGCAGGTACCCAGCAGCAATACCAACATACCCACTTGACTGAATGAGATTCGGATCCACACTTTATGCAATTTTTTTGTTATCAGTCTTCCTTAAAAAGGAGAACTCATTAAGCCCAAAGAAGTAGAGTATGGAAAGTCACTTGAATCAAACAGAGAATGGTGACTTTTTCTTTAAAATAGTGCAAAACACCAAGAACCACAACAACAAAAAAGGAGTATTTATGGCAGTGAGGGTCATAGACTTTGGAATGAATATGTCCTGATCCCAAGTTAAAATAACAGCCCTGGGTTCAGAGCTGAAGTACGTTAGATATAGAAACACCTGCTCTCTCACAGACCATCGGCATGTAGAACAGAATCTGTTCAATGCCTACCACTGGGAAGGAATGATATCTATGCCCAAACACATTTTTGGCTATGCCAGTTGAAAAGCATATGATCCTGCCTGCAAGACACAGATTAATTTATGATGGTTTCCATCTTACTCCCAGCTTACAAGTCACTGGTAGCAGCTGTACCAAGTTTTATTTCACTGGGAACATCATTTGTCCCAAGAGTTTGTCTACACATCAGCACTTGGGAAAGTTAAAGTCCCTGACTAAAGCTGTGAGGTCAATGAAGACACAGATTTCAGAGTAAATGCTCCCATTCAGAAGTAAAGTTTGCTATACAACAAAGTAAAGCCATTTCCTTCTGAAGAAAAGTATTTAATGGCAAGTTTATGCATGTGCTTCACACCTTTCATCTAAACCACCAAGCAGACAAGTCCTGAGATACACTTTCTCACAAACAGTCACTTCCAAAAAGTTCATTTGCTTTGAATAACCAAGTCTTTATGTCATAAACCGAGTAGAGCCAGGCATTGCTTTATCACATTGGTCAGAACTACACACCATCTTAGCAGGATGTGACAGTGTGACAGGTGTCTGTCTGCCCTCCAGACACATGAAGCAGAGTGAGAACTCATTTCTCTCTAGCAAATCAGCAGCAGGATAGAGGGTCTCTTGAGGATAAAGTCTAGGGCACTAATCCCTTCTTAATAATGACAGGCAAATCTGTGACCACGAGCAGCCCAAATCATCACCAGGTGCTACCACTATTTTGTTTTTACCTTGGTACGTTCTGAAGCAGCATCATGTCCCAGTAACATGTCACAAGTCTGTCTGGCTGACATGCTGAACGGGTCTTTGACAACAGCTTGTCTAGAACTGAATTCTGCCCAATCATTTTCCACTCTGACTGGAAGCCACAAGGTACTTGAACACATCCTCACTTGATGCACATGCCCATCTCTTCTGGAAAGAACACAGTTACCCACAAGCTTGGGTAACCACTGAACTAACACGCTCCACAGAAACCTGCCAAGTCAAGCCTAGAGTGCTGCAGGGCGTGTGTGAGGTTGGCTCACATGTCCTGGCAAAAGGTGAAGCACACAGATTTCAGCACCACAGTAAGGAAATAAATGCAGTAAAAGAAAGGCATGGGCTAAGTAGTGCTGAAAGAGTGTTTCTCCATGCTGTCTGCAGCTGATACATGATATAGACATGGGGAAATGGCTCATAGTCCAGTTCTCTGGAGACTCCTAAAGACTTCAGGGTAATTCTGCTTGGAGCACTCTGCTAAGAGGCCTTGAAGGCATGCCAGAAATCATAAATCACCCTTAAATTGTCAGGGTCAGTGGCAAAGTAGTAGCACAGATAAGTAATCTGATTTTCTTTGCTTCAAAACCTCATTAGCACAAGTATTTACAATGCATAGGTTAAGCCCCTCTTAATACTCCACAGGAGACTCCTCTATTTCTGAGTCACTGATAAACTAGAGAAACCATACAAGAAACAAAGTGCCTATAAACAGATGCAGACTTCGATTTAAAATTCTGTCAGATAAAACCAACACTGACACACCCTTAATCCTCTCCTACAAAACCCTTGTTTCTTTTACCTGCCAGGATTTTCCTGCAGTATCCACTGTTGATTACAATAATCTATTAAAATATTCACAGCTCGATTTTCTACAGGTAAGAGTGCTCTCTAGTAGAAGGGCAGGAGTTCATACCCTGGCATGTCCCAGTGTTTGATACAACGGATATTTAAATACATTTCAGCACTAGCAATGTGCTTGCCTTCTTCAGAAAAACAATCTGCTGCCTAATTGATCAGGTAGTAGATAAAACAGCAGAACCTTCTTACTTGCTAGTTAATCCCCAGGTGAACAACTTTCTTCCTCCCCTTCCTTCATGCTACAGCCCTGAAGGCATGTTTAGATCACCTGTGGCTGCCTCCTTGTTCTTCTTTTGAGGTGACTTACCTTGGGTTCAGCATGAATTACCCCAGGACTGTAATATCACCAAGCATGACCATTCAGAACTTTCATCTTCACTCACTCTCCCGAAGATCACTTGATTGAATTAAACCTTGATTTGCAGCACCCTTTCCCCCAGTGCTGGTATTGCTATGCTTTCTCTGCTTGGAAGGAACAGAGATCCCCGCAGGCTTCCCTCCAACCAATGGGTCACAGAGGAGGCCCCAAACCCTGCTCCTGAACAACAGCTTCCGTGGATTCCCCATGGCAGCAGCAGGATAAACAGTCTAGGTTGTCACAGATGTGAAAGTCAGTGTGTTTTCTGAACAGTTGTAGGGAAAGAGGAGTAACACATACATCACAAATGTGCAAATCAAACACCTTCCTTGGGTAAAAAGGCTTTCTAAACACACGATGAATCTCAAAAAGGCATCTATACCTAAGATTCATGATTTAACAAAGCTGAAAAACCAACACACAACAAAAACCAAGCTAAAGTGCCCCTTACTCAGAGATGGCATGCAGCCTGCTCTAAATTAGGCAGCATTTAGTAAGAACCTCAAATTAGGTGAGAATTTAAAGCTTCACATAGGAAGGCTGCACAAGGCATCATCTACTGGTTACACAAGAGATCCAAACACTGAAGTGTTGCTGAAGTGATCATCAATTCTGGATCACAGAACTGTTATTCTTTGCCAAAATGGAAAAACAGACCTGAGGTCAGATTTCATTAAATCTCCTTCTGGTTCAGCCACAATAAAAAAATCAACCTACAGCCGCAGTAACCCTCTGTCCTGAACTCATTTTCTCTCCCTTCCAAACTGCAGCTCCCTATTAGAAATTTGTTACATTAATAGCCATAGTGCTGAAGAGCAAGTTGCTCCATTAATATATAAGTGATGACCATTACTTTTTCAGTTGTCCTTAAAAAAAGTTAAGTGCAGGGCCACACAAGTACCACTGAAAGTATCAGTTTGGTTGACCACTATCTAAACTTAGTGCAATACTTTCCAACAGAGTCCAAAAATAGGAACACCAAGATTTTGTGGAAATACAGGAGGAGAGGCTAACACAGTATTTCAGGAAATAAGACACTGCCATTTGACATAATCCTGAAAGGAAGAAATACATATCCAGTGATTAATCTCCCAACAGAAAGCAAAGCTGGGACTGTAAGGAAAGACTCAGCCCCATGACATGGGGCTGCATGTGACAATGTCCATGCTGTGGAGCTGGTGCCCACTTTCTCCTGTGACCAGGAAGATGTTCAGCATTAGCATAGTTGGGAAAGGGAATTTTTTACAATAAAGCGGGACTGCATCTCTTGGTTTGTTAGGACTGAGCTTGAGCTGGGGACTGTATAATGAAATAAAGAAAAATTATCCATAAGGAAAAGCAAACAAAACTACCACACGGGTGAGGAGTATGGGGTGAGGAGTGCCACCTTCAAGAAAACCTGGGAATAAAGACAGGCCTGTCCCTACTGTACCTAAAATTTCTGCATGCACATGGCCCAGCACACTTTCTGCAGCCATGGTAATTTCCTCTGGGACAAACTCCTCAAGGCTTGTTGTCCCATCTGGTGTGAACAGTAAGCACAGAAAAGCACCAGAGAGATCCACTGGCAGTACATCTAATAGAGCAAAGGCCATGGTCACCCAACCCTTAGAAAGTTTTCTTTTCCGAAGCACTTGCTGGGAATTTGCAAACAGATTCCTTGTTTCACACCTTCACACCAAGCTCACTTCATTGGTTACAGTTTATGGTGGAAATTAAGTCTTTTAGTCAGGGGTTAGCAGCTTCCAAACTTCCTGACATACACCTATGTCAAATTCTTGTCTTCTAGCCAAGTAGTAATATGAAACAAGGTGAATTCAGGCAGGTGCAGAACTTCCTGAATTTTTAGCAATGTTTTCAGATTACTCTCTTCACCCCTGTCAGAAAGACTTGGCTTCCCAACTAGTAAGTACTTGGATTACTTTGCCTAAAAACTATGCAGGTACTGAGGTGCGTTTCTTTCAATACCTGATGGCATCAAAGAGGTATCAAGGCAGATACACAAGAACCACTTCTGTAATTCTCTGTAGGACACTGAGAATTATGTGTCCTTAGACAGCTGAAGACCTATTTTATCACTGAGTTCTGGGCCATTCCTTTTGTGTATGCTCCATATCCTGCCCCGTCTGTTCTCCAGGGAGTCTATAGTTATGCTCTTTCCTTCCAGAAATTCTTTTGGATGGATTTCCTTCCCTGTTCATCAGAGGTAAAACAGAAGAAAAGTGGCTTTTTCTCATATGACAAATGTAATCATGGATGGAGATGAATGGTGTGAATCCTAGAATTCAATATAACCAGAGTGGACTGCACTTCCTTGGTCACATGCTAGGAAGGCAGAAGCATAAAATTTTCACAATTCTGACTTTTTACCCACACAGCTCAAAATCCACTAAGAACTGGAAGCATCCTCAACATGCCACAGATATTTAATAAACTTTTATTTGGCTTGAGACCTCCATCTGTCCAGCAAACACAGACAGGTCTGGCTAAGATTTCACTGAGGTCCAAAAAGAAAGTGTGGGCTCAGAGTAGAGCTAATTAAGCAGCAGAGCTGATGGGGTCTTGACAGAAATTGTATGTTGCCCACGTTTTTTGACGTTTTTCAAAGAGCTGGCTATAGGTCTAGGTAGATAAGGCTTAAAAACACTGTGATGTTTCATGCCAGATTTTAATGTGTGCTACCTTCCTGCACATACACATGGCTCCAAGCATGGTTAATGAGTAATAACTTTACTCATGTTGGAAAAATTATGATAAAATAAACAGCTGGGGGAGAAGGCGTAGTGCAAAGTTATTATGGCCTGCAGTTAAAAGGAGACTTCAAAGGAGGCAGCATGGTTCAGGCGTTAGATGGGCAGCAAGAAGAAAACAGAAAGAGCAGGTGAAAACGCTATCACCAGTCTTATGACAAAAGAAGCAAAAACCACTTTCCAATCCTCTCTTGCTTTTTCCAGGCCTGGACTAAAGAACAAAGAAACTCAAACCATTGCAAACATATAGATAACTAATTTCTTTCTTAATCCAAATCTCGGGGTTTGCCTATCTATTGGGAATTTTGGGACTTTTTACACCTTTTTTGGTGTAGTGATTTTTGTGCTAGTAAAAACATTGACTTAATCAACAGGTCAGTGCAAAGGTGATGCACAGGCTAGAGAGCTTGGTATCTCAACCAGCCTAGGGAGCACATCTCCATTACAAGTCAACTTACAAGCAGAATCCAAGTATTTTCCTACAACTCTCATCAAACAAAAATCTTTTTTGGTCTGAACAATCTCAGACTGCTGCATCTGGGTAAAATAAAACTGAGAGCCTTCATCAGGCTCTTGACAAAACCTTGTCATATTTGTAGCGACTCTGTTTGAGGAAAGACACAAAGTGAGACAAGGTATCACTTTCATTGTAACAGCTTCTTTGCCCTTAATTTCCACAGGAAGTTAAGGCATGAGGAAAATATTTCTGGTATGGGATCCAGAAGCATGAAGGTCTTAAATTTTGTTTCTATAAAGCATGCCATTTCAAGTTGTAAGAATATAGTTACATATCCTCACTAACTACTAGTGCACAGATCCACTTCTTTGGCTCAAAGGTGCCTGGAGTTGGAAGACACCGGCCTCTAGCTCAGGCACCGTAAGTGTCTCCTGGCCCGTAGCTGCCTCCCCGGCTCCGGGCTCCGCTGTCCTCCCCCACTCCCAGTTCCCCCGCCCGGATCCCGGTTCCCAGCTCCCTCAGGTTCTCCCGAGGTCCCCTTTTCCACCCTCACGCGGAGCTCCCAGTTCCTTTCCTCCGCATCTCCCGTTCCTCAATCCCCTCCTCAGCTCCCCTTTGCTCCCCGATTCCCGGATCCTGCGTGTCTTTCCCCCTTCTCAACCCCCATTTCCCGTTCTGTCCCGTGCTCTTGTTTGCCTCCCGATTCCCGCTTCCAGCCGGCTCCACTTCCCTCCGGCGCCCGCCTTCCACCCGGCGCTACCTCTTTCGCCTTCCCCGTTCCCATCCTCGGTTCCCTTTCCCCGTTCCCTTTCCCCGTTCCCGTTCCCTTTCCCCGTTTCCGTTCCCGTTCCCCCACACGCGGGGCCCACCGAGCCACTTCCGGGATCGCGCGCGGACTCCGCGGCTCCGGGGCCTCCCTGCCAGGGGCAGGGGCGCCGGGCGGCCGGCAGGGGGCGCTGTGCCCCCGCGAAAGCGTCCAACCTTCCCTCAGTCCCTGCTCCGGCTTTGGGGGGCGCGCCGTGTTCCCAGCGTGTCCCCAGCCCTCGGGATGGACACCCAGGCCTTCCCAGCGTGTCCCCAGCCTTTGGGATGGACAGGCCGATGTTTCCAGCCCTCAGGGTATGTTTTACTCTTACATCAGCATGTGCTCAGCCAGAGGTGAGAGCCGTGCTCAGTACGGAGCTGGCTCCTTGGGTATCACCTCTGCGAGCTGGGCAGAGGAGTTGATAGTGCCGTGAGATACAAGGTCATGCTTAGCCACAAAACTTGGGTGGGAGAAGTTTTTTGAAAGCAGCTTCTACTCAGGAACTGGCTGTAGTGGAAACTGTTGGCATTCTCAGTGGGATATGCAAAATTTAATAGCAGTGATAAAAAGACAAGGTGATGGATGAAACCTTCGATGAAAATAAGTGCATTTATTTTAATTTCTGCCTTTCTCAGTATGTTTGCTTCCATCAGCTTCCAAAGGCTGATATTACTTGGTGCTTCTGACATCAGCAAATTTCAGGTAACTCTCTTAGCTTCTTCAGCTGAGTTAATCTCCACATGCTTTTCCTGAGTTACCCATCTGATGTCTTCAAGGTATTTTGGACGAATTGTGCTCATAGCTGAGAAAAGCAAGGATTTCAAAATTGAATGGAAAAACACATTCTCAAGAAAGGAAGTTCCAGATGCTATGAGCCACTCTCGGGAAGTCTGGTAGCCATAGGATAAACCATAGAGCACAATGAAAAAGGATGAGAGCACAGTTATGGTCAGAACCAGTCCCCAGGCCACACAGACACACCACCAGCACAGCAAGGGCTCAGTGTCCGGGATCTTGCGAAGCTGCCTGATGGTAGTGCTTAGTCTCCTTCCTTTGGAAAAGATGCCCCCTTCCATGAAATTGGAACTTGACTTCTTGGACTTTCTACCCGTCCAAGAGGAATTCCCACTTATCGTCTGCTCCTCTGTGTCAATTACATTTGCATCTTTTTCAGATACTATGCAATTATTCCAGTACCTAGAATCTACCTTTGGGTACATCTTAGTCACAACAGGAGGAGGATCCTTCTGGGAATACTTAAATAAGGCAATTATTAACATTTCCACGGGGAGAGTAAGCAAAGCACATTCAATTCCTACTGTTACTGATCTCAAATACCTCAGATATATTGGAGCTTCATCATCCTTTTCAGCATTAAAGAACATAATGTTAACAAGCAAGCTAAATAATATTACTGCTAAAAATGTAGACAACCTTTGGAATCTAGTGAAAGCCCCAGCGATGACAGGAGCAAAAATTGAGAGCCATAGATGGTACTCGGTCAGTCTCCTGTTAAAATTAATAAGAAAATAGTCCAATTTGGGTAGAGGTATCTGGGGGTCTGTGACAGAAAATTTCCAGTCTCGTAAGGGATTGTTCTTGTCAAGGAAAAGCCATTTTCTGCACAGAAAGAACCAGGCCTTCCTGGTGGACATGTCCTCAACTTCAGCTCTGCTTAAGAACCAGGTTGGCGATTTGCCCTCGTTATTGAGCCTGACCTTGAAGGATCGAATATCTCCCAAGTTTTTCTTAGTAGTTATCAGAAAGCAGTCAATGCTTCCCCGTTGGAAAGCTGGAGAAGGTTGGTGCCATAAACAACGGAATTTACTCCTGCCGTACTGGCCAACGAGCTGCAGAAAGACCTCAACTTTGGTCCCGGCATTCCAGCGACTGCCTGTGTACAAAGTGACCAAAAAGCTCCCTTCATCAGAGGCCTCGTTGTCTGGCAGAACGATAATGTACTTGATCTCCTTCTCAACCCTGTCTCTTCCTATAGCCCAGCAGCATAAAAGCAAATAGACGGTAAAAATAGAGAGCACTGTTATGAGGGTCAGTGGGTTTTTAGGTAGGTCTGCTATCAGGTTTCTCCCCAGATCTACTGTGTTGGGAAGAACTACTACTTTGGCTGCCAGGAACTTAATGTCGGGTGACGGAAGGGCTGGCAGACGCTGCCGCTGCCGAGTCTGCTTGTAGTCACAGACACAGTGTATCTTCTTCCAGCTGGTCAAGGAGCCAACCTTGCATGTGCCTTTGTTCCACTGACTTTCGACCCCATCCAGAAATAGGCAGCGGTCATTAAAAATGTATACATCCAGCAGTTTCCGGTTTGGGTACCTTAGGATATAGTGTGTCTCCAAGACAATAGAGATGCTCTGACTGTGTACGCCACTTTCCTGTGCTATGATTGTCAGCAGGGACTGTGGGAGACAGATTATATAGGGACCCGAAATGCTACAATCAGCAGTGGTTGTCCAATTTCCACTTGCAACTGTTGGCATGTTGTGAAAAGCAGTAAACGAGGCCACAGGCTGAGCATTAGTGAGATTGGTACCTGTAAATATCAGCACCTTGAAAGTAACTTCTAATTCTGTCATGATCTGGAAGTATATGCTCGTGGTAGTTTTATTGATCTCAAAATTAAATCCTCCAATTGTGTAAGTTTCTGTTTTATCGGGTCCCATTACTAAATTTAAAGCTATAACTCCACCTTTCCTGGCAAGAAAAACGTCTGCTCTTTCAGTACTCAATGGAATTAGATCCCCATTATACGAAACCTCTGCCACTTTAAACCCCATGACTACTGATATGATATCTGATGTGTAACCTAACCATGGGAAGGGGCTCTCATCAAATTCAAAAATGGCAGTGGCAACCACAGTACTAGGGCTCAGTGCTGAACCACTTTCTTTTCTCACTGTTGGATAAAAGCAATTGTGGCAGGTGTGTGTGGCAGGTAAATAATTTGTAATGTTCCAGGCTTCCTTTTTCTTCAGAGTGATATTCCAGAGTCCTGTTTCTATTAGAGTTTCTATTTCTTCAGGTACTTTTCCCATGTAAATTACCTCCAGTATACCTTCCAGGATGGAGAAAACATTTTGAATTCCATTTGCACTGACATTCTTGAGATGCAGAAGATCAGCACTCAGGATGTTGGACAAGCATCTTAGTATTCCACTGGCCTGAATTTCTGCTTCCTCAGACAAACGGGTCCTATACTTGTGTCTCATCAGAGCTCTTGTTACTTCTGTCAGTTTCCCAATGGCAAGGTCTTGTGACCTAACATTCATTTTCTCAACTGCATCTGTTACTTCAGAAAGAACAGCCGCTACTTGGTTGATTTCCAGGATGCTCTTTACTGAAATATTCAAGGCAGTTTTAACCACAGCTTCCCGAAGCTGAGCCTGAGGGAGCTGGACAGTTGGTGTGTTTTTATTATAGTTTAAGAGTGAGGCTGCAAGATAAGCCAAATAACCAGCTCTAAGACGATCTCCAGTCTGCTGATCAGATGTTGACAAGCTTAAACGGTTTGCTGAAGCCAGCAGTTCGTGAAACATAGCCGAAAGGGATTGAGTTTTAAGTGGGTTCTTTACATGGACACGTAAACTCACCTGGGTAAATGCCCCTATGGAATCACGGACTTGAATATAAAGTGTCAAAGCGTACTTGTGAGAGGGGTGTCCAACTGGGAGAAATGATGGAGGAGTTTTAGGCTCAGAACCATAGTACAGAATTGGGCCAAATGTGTTTTCTACCACAGAAGTTACTGTGGTAGTTTCAGGTATGTTGGAAGCTACTATCACTTTATATGTCAGAGGTGAATGGCTGTCATAAAATCCTCTACACTTAACAACAAATTTTGTCAGAAAGGCTATACCGTAGTGGGGGCTGATGTTACACGTGCCGTCCCGAGGTGGAATATTTACTCTAAAGGGTCTTATGAAGGATGAGCTTCTACCATCCCAAGTAGTTACACTTAAGTGAAGTACATAGGATGGATATACAGGTTTTATGAAAGTCAGAGCATGTATAGACATGTAAGCCCCAGACCTCCCTGTTGAGGTTTTGGAATCCCAATCAAAATTAATTTCTTTAGAGGTGTCTGAAAAAAGGGTCCAGTAATACAGTGGCTTGTTGCTTGGTTTACAGTTTGAGCATTTTCCAGATAGGGAAAATCTCTCTGTTGGAATTATACTTGTATCGCAGTTTTCAAGGCATCTCACATTCAGAATGAGTGGAGGGCCAGGATCCACCTCTACAATTTGATTAGCATAAGCCTTCCTTTTGCCCTTTTGAATCACCAGGCGAAAGTAGTATAAGGTGCTTCCTGGGAGGGATTCTGGTGGTATATTTTGAATGGGACCTGAGGCTGTTATCCATCTCAAATCCTTCTGGAATGGATGGCATCTGTTTTTCAGGTTGAATTTCATGGTTTTATAGTCTGCCGAGTCTTTAGTGCAGTACCAAGTAAATATCAGTGGTCCTTCCTGTGAATCAGGATCAGAGGATTC